AAATCAATTCCCTAAAGCAAGATTTATTGACAACACCATGATGTATTCTAGTTTGCCCAGTTAGTTTAGTCATTTATGACTTAAATGTATATTTTAGTTCTTAAATAATCAAAGGCAATGGATTCTCAAAATTGACAGCTTGTAAAAACCAATCAGCTAGGTTTAAGCAAACCAGAAAGTGATTTATAAGGAATGTGGATTCTAGAGGGCAAGGACTATAATCAATGGGGAACGGATCACACCATCAGGCACTATGGTAGTAGATTTTAACCATCTAATACATTCAATTCTATCTAAATAACAGATACAATCTCCAAACATTTGTTCAGAGGATCCAATCTCCTAGATCTAGAGATAAAATTCCCATTTAAATCTAGAATCATATCCGAAAAAATCATGTCCTAACTACAAGAAATAAACAAAATGATGGAGAAAAATATCAACCATATAAAAGAAAATGAAGGAAAAACAATAAAAAGGTTGTTGTCTAATATTTTTAGCCTAATGAAGGAAAAACAATAAAAAGGTTGTTGTCGACTTTTTTTTTTAGTTAAGTGTCCCAAACTAGAGTTTGAGAGGAAGTATTTTTTCGAGAAAAGTGAGAGAAATAAATGGAACTACAGGTTATTTGTTTTCAGTGATATAAGACATGTCACAATTTCTTACTAGAAGGAAAGAAGAAGCAAGCTGTAACACTAAATGAAGTTGAATCTAATATTAGAGCTCACAGCAAAGCTGCGAAGGAGAATGAAAATGACTTTAGGACTTTTATGTCTTATTATTAATGTATACAGGTTTTGTATTTTCTATAAATTTATAGTTAAATACTACACCTATAGAGTTCATGATAAGAATGCCTGTACACCAAAGGTTGTGTGAATACCCCATCGAAGGTTTTTTAAAAATTACCTAGCTTTAGAAAAAAAACTCGATCTCTTGATAGCATATAAACAGGACATCTGCTACAGAACCCAGTATAAAAAGCCTAAGGATCATGTTTATTCTATGAAACACATCTCTTAGAATTGATGGAAAAGAATTGAGTCATTGAGAGTAGAAGAGACAAAGTGAAACCCTTATCTTCTTGGAAACAAACCACATGCTGATCTGTATTTGTCTCTTGATTGTAGCTGCTTTACATATAGCGATTAGCATCATATTTTAACTAACAGGTAAGTAATGATTAATTAATGCATGGTTTGGTTAGTGAGATTTGGTTATGGTTCAGGGTTTTTTTTTTTTTTTTTTTTGTTAGGTTTTTTTTTTTCTTTTCTCATTACCTACTTGGAAATTGTTCCTGGTTCTTTGGTGCTCGAGTCTGGAACTGGCAGTGGATCTTTAACCACCTCTCTTGCTAGGGCTGTAGCTCCTACAGGACACGTATATACTTTTGATTTCCATCAACAAAGGGCTGCCTCTGCCAGGTAAACACGCCTCTTACCTTATTTTCCATCTTACATCTTTCAAGTAAGTCTCAACTCAACTCATGTTAGGTTGTTTTTATTACTTGTCCAAACATGTGAACAATTCGAACTAGATTAAAGCTTTGCTTTTATTTTTTTAATTTGTTTAGAGAAGATTTTCAAAGCACAGGAGTAGGCAGTGTAGTTACAGTGGGAGTAAGAGATATCCAAGGCGAGGGATTTCCAGATGAGTATTCTGGGTTGGCTGATTCTGTATTTCTGGACCTACCCCAACCATGGCTGGCCATTCTGTCAGCTGGGAAAATGTTGAAACAAGATGGGACTTTGTGCTCTTTTTCACCTTGCATTGAGCAAGTACAACGCACATGTGAAGCTCTAAAATCGAACTTTAGAGGTAAATCTATAGTATTGTTGTCTGAACCTCTTTGGCTTTGTACCTATAAAAAGAGAGTATAGCATCCAGTAAGATGGAACCGTTCTAAATTTTATTTCTCATACTGTCATGGGTTCATCAATTCTTTAGAAAAACACATTTTATTTGTTAAAACTTCTGTAGCCTATATATGATATTTCTCCACCCTCTCTTTGCAGTGTTTGCATGATAAAAGTTTTTCTGTATATTTGTTCTGGTCAAGCAGTTTATTATAAGCGCATCCAGCATCTATTTCGGTACACTAATGTGTATTTTTTGGCATATAGATATAAGGACATTTGAGGTTCTCCTTCGGACATTTGAAGTTCACGAAGGGAAAATGGATAGTTGCCAGGGCAATGAAGGTCTTTCTGTTGGGTCTCCTCCGTGCAAGCGGAGACAACGGTCAAGTGAAGGAAGCACTGTGCAGGACAGCTCAAGTTCTTCTACAATCAAGGCTAGGCCATGTGCTGATGCCAGGGGTCACACTGGCTATTTGACATTTTCAAGACTCAAATGTCTCTCATGAAGAATCTTCACGTGACAGGTTAGACATCCAAAAGTTTTTAGCCCTTGTATTTGAGAGGCTAGAAAAGTTTTGAAAGAGAATTTTGCCCAATGGCATTTGGTCAACAATTTTTATTTTCCTTCTGACTTAAAAGATAGGCAGCGAATGCCATAAAACATTTCATCGGGTTCATGCTTTTGTAGCTCACTCTCTTGGCGATTGGTAGGCCACTTGATTAAATCAAGGATAGCAGTAACAGTATATCTTCTGTTTTTGGAAACATTGCTGGTATCAAACAGTGGCCTCTAGGTTTACTTAAAAAATTCTAGAATTTGGGTTCTTGGATCTCAGGGTAGAACTTCATCATTTAGGACGTTGTCGTAGTTTTTGAGATTGTGGTGTGAAAAAAAAATTGATTTAGGAAAAGTGGCTGGTTGGATAAAACATGTTTGGTTAAAATTATAGTTGAAAATGATATTAAATAAAAAATAGTTTTAAGGTGGTTGGTTAAAACTGTTTTTTAAAGTGATTTTGATATTAAAATGACAAAAAGACTAGTAGTTTTCTAGTTTTTGAATTAAATTATTATAAATTGGATTATTAAGGTTTTATTTTTATTGTCTTATTAAATTATTTGCAATTTCATTATTATCTAGTCCAAGGCCTATAGTATGCATGGATTTTTGAATGAGGTTTTCTGATTTGTTTTGATATGAGTTCTATGGTTTTATTATAATCTCATATCCTTTATCACGGGTTTTATAGGGTAACTATGATTGACCCGAGTCAATCTAGTATGCCACCGTCTTATATTTTTTTTTAAATGTGTTGCTTAATATGTCACCGTTTATGTATTTTAGATGTTTTGTTGGCCAATATGAATAAAAATCAGGACTTCCTAATATATTTACACATTTTTTAGATTTTTTAAAAAGGATTCAATAGCGTGGTCTAAAAAACTAGTGTCTATAACTCAATTTCTACTATATTTATTTTTTATTTGATAAAGTAAGAAATTTATATATTTATATTCTATTTATCAAATTTTTAATATTTATTGAGATTTTCATTATTTAAGTGCTATTTATTATTCAATATAAAATAAAAAAATAACATACATGTATACTATGTATGTGTATATCTATTAAAAAATAAAATTATAAATGTTATATATATATATATATATTGAGATGATATTAAATTGAGTTTCTGGTGGGATTGATAATATTTATATATTTTATTATTATTATTTATCGAATACTAAAATAGTCTCAGCAACTTTTTCTTTCCCTCGAGCCTAACCACCGTTTCAATACTAAAATCATTTTGAATATATAATTATCACAGCTTTGTAGGAAGCGTAGAGAAAAAGGTTGCTAATTTTCTCAGTTGTCAATCTCATCCTATATGCAGGAAAGACTTGGCTTGCCCAGCCAGTGAAGGCATGTATTCTTATAGGACCATAAAATCAGTAAATTACCTTCCTTCAAGAAGAGCATTTTCAAACCTGGTATCAAGCAACAAAAACCATGAATGAATTGGACTGCCATAGGTTCACATTTTCAAACCTGGTATCAAGCAGCAAATAATTTTTAAATTAATCTTTGACCATCTAAACACGACACGGCACACCTCAACAAACCAAATAGTTTGCTTGAAGTTGCCAAAATTTGATCGAAAAATGAAGAATCAATCCTAGACATCAAATCTTCCTAAGCTCTTATCTACTTTTTCTGCCAATTTGAAGGCCAATACCTTACAACTTTCCCTGCCCTATTGTTTTTCAGCCTGTCCTGTTGCAGCACGTGCACACCACGCACTGCTGTGATTTTTTTTAAAATGTTTTTCTCGCGTTCCTTCAAGGGTAACCATGTTATTTTCTCTTGTTTATTTATTTAAATGTGTATTCCTGTAATTTTCATTTTTGAGGTGTTTTGTTTTAGATTGCAGAATGTGATTTACGTGTTTGCACAATATTTCAGACAATATCAATGTATTTTCATGGCTTTCAGCTGTTTCCCCCCTAAATTAAGGCGTTGAAAAAGAGACCAACGACGTGGTCTTTACGCTCAATGTGTCTCCCACGGCCAAAAAAATAATAATAATAATAAAAAAAAATGCAATCAGTCAGAGCCTGGTGGAAAATCACCCCAAGAAATTTCATTCAACCACCAAACTAAAGTTTTTTAAAAGGTACTAACAATCCATATTTACAAATAGTCATAACGTTTTACTTCAAGAAAGTGGTTGTTTTTAGAATATTTTTTATTTATAAATGTTTTAAAATAATTTTTTTTATTTTTTAACATTTATTTTTTACTTTCACATATTAATACTATATAAAAAAACTAAAAAAATTTAATTGAAGACAAAAAACAAAAAATAGATTTTCTCAATACCAGGATTACGGTAAATGGAAAACTAGATTTCCTAACAAAAATCATTACGCTGGACTCATCACCAAGTGGCCTTTGGATACTCTTATAGTGTACACATCTACTGCATGCTTGATTTGTTCATAAGAAATAAAGGAAACACCTTAACGTTAAAAAATAATGTGCAGGTATTGTGATCGTATTTTTCAATATCATGAAAAAAATTATTTGAGAATTAAAAAGTTAAAATGTACATTTAATAAAACAAATTGAAAATCATATGAATCAGTAAATAATAAAAAGAATTGTTAATACTAACTAAAACTAAAGTTGAAAGTTGAAAGATATTTGATCTTGTGAGGTGCTCTTTGAATTTTTTTTTTCAGTTTTCTTAATAATTTAAATTTTATAGAGAGAATATAATTGTTAGTATAAATTCTGTTTTTATTATTAATATATTTTTTAATAAATGATACCAATATTTTTTTTAGGATTAGAAATTAACATGGATACGCTACCTAGTTACTTGCATAAACAAGTTTACAGTCTAAAAAACATGTCATGAAGTGCTATAATGTATACTAGAAATAGAGTTTCAACATTAAAAAAAATCACAAATATGAATTTGAAATCTCTTATAAGAACTCTCAATATCGTAAATCTTTATATTATAATTTATGGGTTCCATATACATAATATTAGCCCCTCATTGCGAACACAATGATCGAGACTGGATTCTACATAATTGATGCAGGGTATTTTTTTCCTCTAAATACCTTGTTTTATTTTAGTAGATATAACTTTAAATATAAATGTCAGATTTAGCTTAAAGATTTTAGAGATTATTATATTAAATTTTTTTAACCATTCAAGGTCAAAAAAGCATTTAAATAGTTAAGATCCAAACATTATTGTTCATGATTTATAATATTTTTCTAATTGATTTATATTTTGTTCTTATTTAATTTAGAACTTTTTTATTATATTTTTTTAGATTTGAAAATAATTTTTTAGTGTTTTTTGATCATTTTAATGTGCTAATATAAAAAATAAATCTTAAAAAATATTATTTTGATATATTTAAAAAAACATTAATGTGTTTTTTGAAAATAATTTTTTAGTGTTTTTTGATCATTTTAATGTGCTAATATAAAAAATAAATCTTAAAAAATATTATTTTGATATATTTTAAAAAAAATTGAAAAATAATTGCTACTATAATACAAAAATAGCTCTTTTAAACCCAAAAAATAGATAGTTAAATTGGTTTTAAATATACGTGAGATTAAATAAAAAAAAAAGACAAAAGTAAGAAAAAAAAAACTTTCATAGAAGAAAAGAGAAAATAAAAATCTAAAAAAAAAAAGGATACAAAAAACTTGAAAAAAACTTAAAAGAAAAGAAAAAAAATAAACATGAGAGAAGCATACCATGCACTGCCGCCCCCTAAAGATACGGGGGATTGAGAGTTTTGATAATCTAGACGGGGGAGATTGATGATGTATTTATTTAAATTTTTATCTAATATGTAAAATTAAAAAAAAAATAGATTTAATTTGTACAAAATTAATAAACTCAATCTGATTTTATAAGTTTACTAAATTTGTTATATAAATTAAATCAAGTTCAAAATTAATCTTAAAATATCTGCTGATCAATCTTATGAGATTAAACATATCTTTCAAGCTTTATATTAGATAGAGCTAAAATTTTAAAAAGAAATATTAGATATATAAAAATATATTGTGATAAATTTTTAGGTTAAATAAAGTTCTAGAATATAATATTTTAGAGGGTAAAACTTAATAGACGAATCTTGTTAAATATATCAAATTAGACTTTCATGTATTTTTTGTCCATATTTGAAGCTACTGGTAGAATTTTGTTGCGTTTAAAATTATAATATAAATTAGATATCTGAAACTTTCCAACTAAATATTGTAAATCCAATAATTTATTCTTAAAAAAAAAAATGTTTGAAATCAAGACTCAAATCTGCCAAAAATATATAAAAATTGGAGATTCGAGGTATATGAAATTTTTTTATCATTAAGATATTTTTTATTATTTTATTTTTATTATTTATTTAATTTTAAATAATTTATTTAATTTAAATTTTTTCTAGCTCATTAGATATTATTTTAAAATTTATTTTATTATTAAATTTATATTAATTAATTCCATCAATAACGGACATGGAAATTAAAAAATTCTTCTCTTATTGTAAAAATTAAGCACTATCATCCATGGCAACGACAACGTTGTTCATTTTCTCAGCTGAATCCAAGTCAATGTTTAATTTTCCTTTTTTATGCAACAAAGACTTCCAAACTTGGGTCACCCAATGAACATAGCTTTTTGCTCAACCAGCGAAGGTATAGATTTTATTGGACGACAAATCACAAACATAATCATGCATTTTTTTTTCTTATTAATTTTCAAATGAGTTATCGAACACAAGCTCACACGGCTAAGACTAGTTCTCTTTCTTTATAATCAAATTAAAAACAATCATAATTCTCTTTAATTAAATTACAAATCAGGTGCAACATACTGATGGTTTTCCTGCAAGTCTTAAGATTAAACGAGCTTTATTTAAGAGTGATAATTTTACATTTTTCTAAAACAAAAACAAAAATTGAAACTTCATGGAAATTGATGGACTGAGGAACCTTACGTCACCTTCCATAAAAGATCCACTTGATCAAAGATGGGCCCGCCGTTCAATGAACACGCGGACGGCAATGCATGGTGCTCTCCCCTATAAAGAGCCTTTGGCTCCTAACAAGTATTTGATACCTTAATTTCAAGCAGAAACAGAGGTACAAATGGGATTAAACAGGTTCTCTCTGCCAGCAATGGCGGTGATAATGATGATTAATGCCATGCTTCTATCGCAAGGGTGTTTGGAGGAAGAACGAATTGCTCTTTTGCAGATCAAAACTTCCTTTGCTGAATACCCAAATCGTAAGCCAAACCAGCTATCCTATTGGGGAAAAGATGCTCTCTGTTGCAGCTGGGAAGGAGTTACCTGCAGCAATTCCACTACAAGACGAGTCGTCGAAATCGATCTTTCCTACGCAAGATATTGGTACTCATCTATGGGAGATTGGCACCTAAATGCATCTCTATTTCTTCCCTTCCAAGAACTCAAAGTTCTTGACTTGGCTGGAAATGGCATAGCTGGCTGTGTTGCGAATGAAGGTTTGCCTCTTCATTAAAGACTTCATCTTTCGTAATTTTAGCACGAAAATTAACATATATAAACTGAAATCGATTTATTCTTTTAATTAATCAAATAATGTTTTTAGCTTTTTACCCTAGCAAGTAACTAGAAATCTTGCATGCACGCAGGTTTCGAAAGGCTATCAAGACTTGCAAAATTGGAGGTTCTTTACTTGGGTTACAATAACTTCAACAATAGCATCCTATCATCTCTCCAAGGAATTTCATCTCTCCAATATCTGTATCTTGTTAGCAACCAATTGCAAGGATCAATAAACATGGAAGGTACTTAGACCCACATATACACATCATCGCAACCAATTGAAAAGGTGTTGAAATGTTAGACACATAAGGTTCTATTCTTTGATATAAAGTTATGAATTGATCCCTATAAATTTCAATTTGAGAATAACAAGCCTAAGAGTTTTATATTAACTCTTCTCTTTTATATTATTTCCTTTAATTTAGAATTTGATTCATTGAGCAACTTGGAGGAGTTATGGTTGGCTGGAAATAAGATCCAAGATTTTATAGCCTTAACAGGTATCAACTAATTAAGGGTCGGTTGATAATTTTTTTATTTCTTCTTTTTACTCTCTTTTTAGTGTGGGTTTGTCTTCAATTTTTAATAAATAACACTACACATTTTGTCTCAATTATATATTTAAATTAATGGGAATCCAAAGCTGGGAGGTGTCATTGTGACCTTTACTCAATACCGACTTAATTTTCAACCATACCAACCTCGATTTAGAACACCTTGACCCTAGACTTTGCTATGCTTCAAGCACCCTAGATTTAACCTTAGTGCTCTACATAAATCTTAGTGCTCTATATAAATCTTAAGTTTAATCTTTCAAGTCTTGGATTAAGAAGATATATACTAATGATTGTTTTTAAAATAATTTTTTAAAAAATTATATTGAAATTATATTTTTAATATCAGTATATCAAAATAATCTAAAAATATAAAAAAATTAACTTCAAATAAACAAAAAAATTTATTTTTTTTAAATACAAAAAATAAAAATAAAAATAAAAATAAAAATAAAAATAAAACGGGTTCTAAATGTATTTTCTCTTTGTAGTATTTATTTTGATTTAAAATTTATCTTTATTATATTTCAATTCTAAAAACAAAAAAGATAAGAGGAAGGGATATGTTGGTTACTATGAAAAAAATCAATAGTAAATTATGATTTTTTTTATGAATGGCCTAGGAAAACATATTTTTCTCTACTAGATAAAAAAATCATGAATTTCAATTACTAGTTAAAATATAAAATTAAAATTAAAAAAATATAAATTAAAATAAGCACTATTTGAATAAATAATACTTTGTGGTGCAACATCGTAAAAGCACATTCTCTTTTAGTATTTTATTAATTAATTCAATAAATATGTCTGGGTGAATAAAATATTAGTTATACTAGACCTCTGCATATCTTTATTTAAATCAAGTTACACCACAATACTACTAACTTGATCGGGGGCGAGGAGCCAAATCAGTTCATTCTACCATTCACTGTTAATCTCTGGTGACTTTGGCCGCATGGTCTTGTAAAAGGGCTCTCCTATCACCTGCTTCTTGTTATCTTATAAATATATTAACTCTAAGTGGTTTGATTAATTAACCAATTAAGAGTTTGAAAGTACAGTAAATTAATTTTTTATTTTGTAATGTATAAAAAAACTATTTTTTTATTTTTTTAAATTTATTTTTAATATCAATACATCAAAAAAATTAAAATAATTAACCTACAATTTAATATCAATACATCATAACTGTTAAATTTAGTTTATTACCAAACCATTTGATTAACCTATAATTTTTTTTCTCAATATTTCAAATAATTAATGATTTTAAGGTGAGTGATAATCATGTAGTTGCTTTTCAAATCAAAGATTTGTCTCTTGATTAAATTCTTTGAAGACAAAAATAAATATTTAGGATTTGAAATGTAATTGATTTCGAAATTAATCACTAACCGCTTGCTATAAATATCATGCAGGCTCTGAAGGACCATCAAGGCTTAACAAATTGGAGATTCTTGATTTAAACTTTAATAACTTCAATAATACCATCCTATCATTCCTTGAAGGGCTTTCATCTCTCAAATATCTATATCTTTGTGGCAACCAGTTGCAAGGATCAATAAACATGAAAGGTACTTAGACCCACACGAATTGATACTCGTAAGTTTCAATTTGAGAATAAAAGGCCTAAAAATTTTATATTAACTCTTTTGTATTCTTTTCTTAACTCAGAATTTGATTCATTGAGGAACATGGAGGTGCTATCGCTGGCTAGAAATAAGATCCAAGATTTTATAGCCTCAACAGGTATCAATTAATTAAAGGCTGTTTAATAACTCTTTTATTTCTCATTTTTATTCTTTTTTTTTTCTGTTTTTTTTTCTTTACCTCAAGTACCCTATATTTAACCTTAGTGCCCAATATCCATCTTAAGTTTAATATTTCAATTTTCAGATTAAGTATATTTGGTCTCTTTAGTGCTTATTTTGATTTAAATTTTATTTTTATTATATTTTAATCCCAAAAAAATAAAACAAGAGAGGAAGGGATAGGTAGGTCATGTTCCTACCATAAAAAAGACCAATCATGATTATTGTTTTTGGTCCAGGTAACCTAGAAAGACATATCTCTCCCTGCTAGATATAAAAAAAATAAAAAATTATGAATTTCAATTTTTAATATACCAAATATTAAAATAAAATATTATTTAAATGAATAATATTTTGTAAGGTAATCCACCATAAAAGCACATTCTCTATTTTATTAATTAATTAAATAGTTGTGCCAAAGTGTGAATAATATATTAATTATACCAAACCTCTACCTTTCTTTATTTAAATCAAGATACATCACAATACTGTTTTAGATTTTAGGTGTGTTTGGTGTTATTGTTGAACTATTATTTTGTTATTTTTTGAATTTTTTTGTTTTATAAATAAATTTTTAAAAATAAAAAAATATTTTTTATATAATTCCAAATTTTTTTTTTGAAATCTTTACTATACAAATTCTCAAATAAAAAATAGATTTAATCTTAGCGCTCTACATCCATCTCAAGTTTAATCTAAATCTCAGATTAAGGAGATATCTTAGAGGAGAGGGTACTAATAGTTATTTTTTAAAATAATATATTAAAATAATATTTTTTTTTAAATTTTTTTAATATCAGCACATCAAAACAATTTAAAGATACTAAAAAAATTAACTTGAAGTAAACAAAAAAAATTAAATTTTTTTAAAAAAACTTTTAAAATGAAAAAAGGGGTTCTAAGTATATTTTTTCTTTGTATTGTTTATTTTGATTTAAAATTTATTACGATTATATTCTAATCCTAAGAAAATAAGACAAGAGGAAGGGATATGTCCATGAAAAAAATCAATCATAAATTATGATTTTTTTTTATGCATGGCTTAGGAAAACATATTTTTCTCTGCTAGATAAAAAAAATCATGAATTTCAATTATTAACATACTAAATTTTAAAATATAAAATTAAAATTAAAAAAATATAAATTAAAATATAATTCTTAATACACTCTTAAATAGGCTCTAATTAGATAATGAATCATAATAGTTAAATTTAATTTGTTACCAAACCATTGGATTAACATACAATGTTTTTTCTCAACATTTCAAAAAATTAACGATTTTGACCTGAGTGATAATCATGTAGTTGCTTTTCAAATCAAAGATTTGTCTCTTAATTAAATTCTTTAAAGACAAAAATGAATATTTAGGATTTGACATGGAATTAATTTTGAAATTAATCACTAAAAGCTTGCTATAAATATCATGCATGCTCTGAAGGACCATCAAAGCTTAACAAATTGGAAACTCTTGATTTAAGCTACAATAACTTCAACAATAGCATCTTATCATCCCTTGATGGGCTTTCATCTCTCAAATATCTACATCTTGATGGCAACCAGTTGGAAGGATCAATAAACATGAAAGGTACCTAGACCCACACGAATTGATACTTATAAGTTTCAATTTGAGAATAAAAGGCTTAAAAATTTTATATTAACTCTTTGTATTCTTTTCTTAACTTAGAATTTGATTCATTGAGCAACTTGGAGGAGCTTTCGCTGGCTGGAAATAAGATCCAAGATTTTATAGCCTTAACAGGTATCAATTTATTAAAGGCCGTTTGATAACTCTTTTATTTCTCATTTTTTTTTTTTTTTTTTTTTTTTTTTTTTTTTTTTACTTCAAGTACCCTATGTTTAACCTTAGTGCCCAATATCCATCTTAAGTTTAATATTTGAAGTTTCAGATTAAGTATATTTGGTCTCTGTAGTGCTTATTTTAGTTTAAATTTTATTTTTATTATATTTTAATCCCCAAAAAATAAAACGAGAGAGGAAGGGATAGGTAGGTCATGTTCCTACTGTAAAAAAGACCAATCATGATTTTTTTTTTTTTTATCTACGTGACCTAGAAAGACATATCTCTCTCCGTAGATAAAAAGAAAATAATCTGAATTTCAATTTTTAACATATCAAATATTAAAAAAAAACTATTTAAATAAATAATACTTTGTAAGGTAATCCACCATAAAAGCACAATCTCTATTTTATTAATTAATTAAATAGTTGTGCCAAAGTGTGAATAATATATTAATTATACCAAACCTCTACCTTTCTTTATTTAAATCAAGGTACATCACAATAGTATTTTAGATTTCGGGTCTGTTTGGTGTTATTTTTGAACTATTATTTTGTTATTTTTTGAATTTTTTTATTTTATAAATAAATTTTTAAAAATAAAAAAACATTTTTATATGTTTTCAAATAAAAGTTTTTTTAAAACACGATCTTTACGATACAAATTCTTAAGTAGGTCCTAAGTTATCTGATGAATAATTATTTAGCTTGATACCTGTTATTTTTTTTTTCAATTTACAACTACACTTCAAATAATTAACAATTTTGAAATGATTAATAATCATGTAGATAGTTTTCAAATTAAAGACTTGTTTCTTAATTAAATTTTTTTGAAGACAAAAATGAATATTTAGGATTTGAAATGTAATTTATTTTTTTAAAATTAATCACTAATCAATTGCTATAAATATCATGCAGGTTATGAAGGACCACCAAGGCTTAACAAATTGGAGAGTCTTGATTTAAGCTACAATAAAATCAACGATAGCACCTTATCATTCTTCAAAGGGTTTTCATCTCTCAAACATCTACATCTTCGTAATCAGTTGGACGGATCAATAGACACAAAAGGTTACATGCCTACATATATTCCTTTATATATATATATATATATATATATTAATTGTTTTTTTTACAAGTGATAAGATGATTTTATTTTATTTTTTGTTTGTAATTTTAGAATATAATCTCGAAACTACATATTTAATTGAAATTAAATAATCAAAACTGATATTATACATGAAAATAACTAAAGTCCCTTTTAATGATTACTATTAGCAACATACTTCCACAATTATTATCTGTTTTCTAAAATATTCTTAATACTTTATTATTAGAATAATAAGGATATGTATTTTAATAATACTTCTAAAATTTATTTGGTTTTGTTGTGGTTTCACATAAAACACCTACTTTAATTAATTATAGAGAAGCAAGGAATTACGTAATTATCTCATAATCATCTTCCACATGTTTTTTCAAGGATAGCATGCTTGCCTTTTCTAAAAACAAATTCTTTATCAATTATAATAATCTTTTACTCTATTTTTTTACTTTATTTAAATGAATAACTTATTTTCTTAAACTCAAATTTACTCAAACGATAGGAATAAATGAAGTTAATCTTGGACTCTTAGCATTTTTGTCAAGCTATTAGAAGAACTAAACATATATATATGTTGAGCTTTCTTCTTTTAGGTTATAATAATCTAGAAGCTGAAAGCCCTGGACAGCTGTGCGAACTAAAGAAATTAAGCTTGATTGATCTTTCTCATAATAATCTGTGTGGTCATATTCTTCCATGCCTACATCCTAGAAGCGAGTGGTATAGGGAATGGGACAGTGCTCCAGGTCCTTCTACCATGCCTTCAGCATCTGCTCCTGTGCCCTTGGAAGATCCTTCTGTTAATAAATCTGTTGAGATTACAACAAAGAGTATATCGTATTCATTCAAGGGAATCATCCTCACTTACATCTCCGGTATCGATCTCTCCTGCAACAATTTGACAGGACAGATTCCTTTTGAGCTTGGAAACCTCAGCAACATTAAGTTGTTGAATCTATCCCATAACAGTTTAACAGGTCCCATACCACCTACATTTTCAAACCTGAAGGAAATTGAAACTCTGGATCTTTCCTACAACAACTTGAACGGGGAAATTCCTCCCCAGCTTCTCGACTTAAACTTCCTATCTGCTTTCAGTGTAGCCCACAATAACTTATCTGGCAAAACGCCAGAGATGGTTGCACAATTCTCAACCTTCAACAAGTCTTGCTAAGAGGGAAATCCGTTGCTTTGTGGACCACCACTCACCAAAAATTGTACTGGAGCAAGACCGCCATCACCACTGCCAAGGTCTCAGACTCATAAAAAAGAAGAAAATGGTGTTATTGATATGGAGGCTTTCTACGTGACATTTTCTGTGGCATACATCATGGTCCTGTTGGCAATAGGTGCAGTTCTCTACATAAACCCGCAATGGCGACAAGCATGGTTTTACTTTACTGGGGAGAGCATCAATAATTGCTATTACTTTCTTGTGGACAATTTACCTGTGCCAGCCAGGTTCAGACGATTTCAGCCTTGTGTCTAAAACTGTATTGGCTTAGTGTATACTTTGTTTAGTGTTTACATTTCAAGTCGTGATTGATCAATAAACCAGTCTTTATAATTGGTGTTAATATATGTTTAAACACTTTGTGCCATCCTGCAAATAATGTTCTGTTTTTTTCTTACCTTACTACCTCGTAAAGTTGCAATGAAGCAAATCATTTGTTTTCGATTATGCTTTCAAGACTAATTTATCAACTAGTTACATATGTTAGAGTATATTAGAGTACATTGCTTTAGATTGTGACACTTGTCACAATCTTAATATAGTGGATAGGTCACAATCTTAATATAGTGGATAGTTCGTTAATTAGCACAAGTCTGTTAATCTGTTAAAAACAGATATATAAACACAACTATCTCGTGGTATATGGTTTAATGCAATTGAAATAAGAACTATTATTAAGTATTCTCTGCTGCTCCTATCTCTCTGTTTCTTCTTTCTTTTTGTAGAATTATAGATTATATTAATCAATTGACATAGCTTAACATGGTATCAAAGTAGATTATTGCTCACGCTTGAAATTTCTTGATCCTCTGTTGCTTTCGCATTTTACTATTACTTTCTCTGCACTCACATATTATTCTTCATATTTGGAGTATATAGTGCTTCATTGTGATCTTCATCTTGAGTTGTATTTCTTTCTACAACTTGCACAGCAAGTGTTTGGTGTATTGTCTCATCCACGAATTAAACTTGAAATCCTAATGGTGACTGCTTTGCAACTCCAGGTGCTTCAATCTCCAGTTACAGCTCTCATTTCCTCCGTTCCTATATCAGTCAATGTCAAACTTGATGAATCGAATTACCTCAATTGGAACTTCCAATACAACTTTTACTTGAAAGTAATGGAATTATGGGGTATGTTGATGGTTTGCTCCCTTACCCACCTCAACATTGTTCATCTCAGCTGAATCTGGTATCATTTCTTCTTCCTCTCAATCTGATGAATATATAGTATGGAAAATGCATGATAGAGCAATTATGCAATTGATTACTGCCACATTATCACCGATTGCTATGTCCTGTGCAATTGGTAGCACTAGCTCTAAAGTTTTGTGGATTAGATTAAAGGAACAATTTTCCACTAGGACTAGTATTTTTCAGATGAAATCCAATCTGCAAACCATTAAAAAGGGTTCAGATTTAGTTTCACAGTATCTTCATCGAATTAAAAAGGCTAGGGACTACTTGTCTGCTGCTGGGGTATATTTTGCAGATGAAGACATTGTGATTCTTGCCTTGAATGGCTTACTTGCTGAGTATAATACTTTTAGTTGTGTTACAAGGGGAAGAGAAAGTGTGATCTCATTGAAGGACTTTCGCTCATAATTGCTTGCAGAGGAAGTGATTATTGACACTTCAGTTAATTCTGCTTTCCTGTCAGCTATGGTTGCTAGCACAAGTGATACATACACACAAGGGAGTTTCTCTCCACATCATGGGCAGTCTCAGGTGTCTGCTAGACAGTTTCAGCCATATAATGGAAACAAGAATAGGGGTAAAGGTCGATTTCCTCAGGGCTCTCGATTCTTTGCTTCTAGACTAGGTTTTTCCTCTATGACACCTGTGCTTTCCAACTCAAATTCTGGAATCCTTGGTTAATCCCCTGCTCAGCAATTTTGACATCCTTCTGCACTTATGATTCCAATCTGTCAGCTATGTAACTCTAAGGGACACACTGCTCCCTTCTGTAGAGCTTCTCCTCCTAAGAGAACCAGATGCAACATCTGTGGTAGAAGTAATCATACCTCCTGGTATTGCTTTTATAATGATAAGGGTCCAAATTACATTGCTTTGTATTCTCCACAGTCATCCTTTTCTCTGCAGCCACAGTCTCTGCAGTATCCTCCATATTCGGCTCCCTCTTCACAGAACAGGGAAGTACATCAACCTCCTATGCAAGTTATGCAGCAATATACTCCATATCAGGCGTCATCCTCACAGAATCGGGAAGTACAACAATCTCCTATGCAAGCTATGCATACAGTGATTCACTCTGTCTCTCCAGCATCTTGTTCATTAGGATCTTCTCAAGTGTGGCTCACCGATTCTGGTGCTACGAATCACATGACGGCTGATTTAGCAAATCTATTGCTGGCCTCCCCATATCCATCCACAGAAACCATTCATATTGCCAATGGTGAAGGTTTGACAGTATCCCACATTGGTCATTCTACTCTTCATTCATCCATTTCTCCAATCAAATTGCATTCTGTGCTTTGTGTTCCTCGAATTACTCAGAATCTACTATCAGTATACCGTCTTTGTCTTCATAATAACTGTCGGCTTATATTTGATGCTCTCTGTTTTTGGATTCAGTACAAAGCATAGGAAGGATCCTTTACAAAGGGCTGTGCAGTAATGGATTGTATCCTATCCACTCTTTCTCACCTGCAACCTTCCAACAGCCTTATCAAGCTACAACTTATCTTGGTCAACTCATTCAGTCCATCTTGTGGCATCATAGGTTAGGTCATCCTATAAATAATATTGTTTCCTTGATATCAAATAAAGCTGACGTGCATGTCTCTAAAACACCTACACCTCTTATGTGTCATCCATGTCTTAAAGGAAAGTTTAGTAAACTACCTTTTCCACAGCATGTCAATAAGTCTGTAATTCCATTTGATACTATTCATACTAATTTGTGGGGTCCTGCACCATCTATTTCAGTTGATGGTTATAGATACTACACTATCTTTGTTGATGAATGTACCAGATATTGTTGGATTTTTCCTTTAGTAAATAAATCTGATTTGTTTTCTACCTTTTTTGTTTTTTATTCCTTTGTTTTTACTTAATTTGCCTCTACCATTAAAACTCTTCAAACTGATTGGGGGGGGGGGGGGGGGTGAGTATACCAGCAATCGATTGAAACTTTTTCTTCTTAACAAGGGCATTTCCCATCGCCTTTCTTGTCCATATACTCCTAAACAAAATGGAGTCGCAGAGAGGAAACATAGACACATAATTGAAACCATTATCACCTTATTACAAACCGCTAAATTGCCATCTAAATTCTGGTCTTATGCCTGTCAAACAACCACTTATCTAATCAATCGTATGCCTACTATTGTTCTTCATAATAGCTCACCATTTGAGATGTTATTTGGATCCTCTCTAGCTATTACACATTTTTGAATTTTTGGATGTGCTTGTTTTCCTCTTCTCAAGCCTTATAATAGCACCAAATTGCAAGCCAAAACTACAAAATGTGTGTTTCTTGGATATGCCACAAAATATAAAGGCTATTTATGTTATCATGTACCAACAATGAGAATGTTTGTGTCTAGGCATGTTATCTTTGATGAGCACCAGTTTCCATATTCATATTTAGTGTCTACACCTTCAAACATAATCCAATCCAGTTCGTTGTCTTCTTGTCCTGTGACTATTATCAATACAACAAATTCCATTGTCTCCACCAGCTCAGTGTCTCCTTCTCACCCCTCTACCACTCATACACCTGCCCCATCTACAGAATCTGTTAGTCCACAATCCATTACTGCTCCAGTTCTAGCCTCTTCTCTGCTCCTTGTGGCACCTGATATCAATATGCAATCTGATTTAGATTCTCATGACTTTATTCCTGATAATCTACAAGTGGTGTTGTCCATTCCTCCATTTAATCTTCATCCAATGCAGACTCGAAGCAAGAGTGGGATTATAAAATGGAAGGCTCTCTTAGCCACTATCCAGGTTCCTACAGCCTCTAAAATGCAGTTGGTTGAACCAACCAATTACAAGGCTGCCCTTAAAATTCTGGTGTGGCTATAGGCCATGAAAGAAAAAGTTGATGATTTCCATACTTAAGGCACTTGGAGTTTAGTTTCATTGCCAGCAAACAGGAACCTCGTTGGCTGTAAGTGGGTTTTTAAGATCAAGAGACATTCTGATGGTTCTATTACCAGACACAAAGCAAGGTTAGTTGCTAAGGGCTTTAGTCAGGAACTTGGATTGGACTATAGGGAGACGTTTAGTCCTGTGGTGAAACCTACCACAGTCTAGTTAGTTTTGGCTCTTGCTACACATTTTAACTGGTCTCTACGATAGTTAAATGTCAAAAATGCATTTTTGCATGGTATTCTCCAAGAGGAAGGCTATATGTCTCAACCTCCTGGTTTTGAAGATCTCAATCATCCTCAACTCATTTGTACATTGCATAAATCCCTATATGGTCTCAAACAGGCTCCTCGCGCTTGGAATGACAGGTTTACTTAGTTCCTTCCTTCTTTGGGTTTTGAAACCACTTATTCTGATTCTTCGTTATTTGTCAAACATGCTGGTCATGAGATTGTGGTGTTGCTTCTCTACGTGGATGATATCATTATCACTGAGAGTGCATCTGGTGTGATTCAACAAGTCATTAGTGCTCTTCTGAATTTGCTCTCACAGATTTAGGCTCCCTTCATTATTTCTTGGGCATCCAAATTACTCACATTGTTGTTGGTTTATTTCTGTCCCAAACCAAATACATTGAGGACTTGTTAGCTAAATCTAAAATGAGTGAGGCTAAACCATGTGATACTCCTTGTCTACCTTATCATCGACTCCTTAAAGACGATAGGGAGCCTTATCCAAATCCTCAGCTATACAGGAGTCTTGTAGGAGCTCTACAATACCTCACTTTCACCAGGCTGAATATTGCTTTCTCTGTACATCAGGTCTACCAGTTTATGCAGCACCCTATGATGTCTCACTTTATTATTGTTAAAAGAATCCTATGATACTAAAAGGCACTCTTAAGTTTGGTCTCTCATATACTCGAGGCAATTTACAATTAAAGGCATGTAGCGATGCCAATTGGGCAAGGGATCCTAATGACAGGAGATCTACTACTAGTTTGGTGGTCTTCTTGGGTAACAATCCCATTTCATGGTCCTCTAAGAAGCAATAAACTATTTCTCAATCTTCCACCAAAGCTAAGTATCATGCCTTATCCTTTACCTCAGCTGAGTTAGATTGGATAAAACAATTATTAGCCTTTTTGCACATTTCATTGCCTGGTATGCCTGTTCTATTTTGTGACAATTTGTCTGCCATTGCTTTGTCTTTCAATCCTATTCAGTGACAGGAGTGTCGAAGTAATAAATAACCCGGTAAGACCCGGGTCGAACCACAAGGAGATTAATTGTACAAATTATAAATAACAATAATACAACAATAATAACAACAACAACAACAATAATAATAATAATAATAATAATAATAGTAGTAATACTAATAATAATAATAAAGA